GTGACAGTGCTAAAAGTATGAAGAACAGGAAGTAAAAGAGAGAAAAAGAAATATATTCACCTGAAAATATATTTTAAAAACATGTGCCCACTGTATAGTAGAATGATTTACCTAAGCTCCTATGAAGAGGATTTGGGCATCAAGTTATTTTTCCAGAATTGACAGTGAATTTGCAATGGTTTATCTATAAACTTTAATTAGGCAGACTTGTAACTGAAAGGAATAACTGGAGTAGCAAGTTACTACCAAGTCACAGTTGTGTAGTCTTGGAACAAGAAGCCAACTGGTCTACATCAAGATCAAAAGAGTCTTAGGCAGAGATGTAATACAGTGGTTAACTAACATGAATCAGAATCACCTAGAGAGCTTCCCAAATTCCATCCAAACCTACTAAATCAGGGTATTTGGAAAGGAGAGGAGCCTAGAATCTATATTGGTAACAAGCTCTTCAGATGATCATACAGCCAGCTCAACATGGATCTGTGGATTGTTTACCTACTAACCTAAAGAGTCATGGTCAAAGCATATGTTGTATTTGTCAATATAAAAAAATTATCTGTATCAAAGCACATGGATGACAGTCTGTTGAGCGTGGCTGACTCTTGGTTTTGGCCCAGGTGGTGATCTCAGGATCTTGAGATTGAGCCTCCCATCAGGCTCTGAAGCTCAGTCCCGAATTTGCTTAAAAGACTCTCTACCCCCCTTCCTCTGCCCCTCCACCATGCTCTCCCCTCTCTTTCTCTCTCTTTCAAATAAATAAATCTAAAAAAATTATCTTTTATCTCTTCATCTACAGTCTACATATACATAGAGAGATATACTTTTCAAAGTAAAGCCTCATTTTAGTTTGAATAGAAGTTATAGGTACTTCTAAATTTATCTGGAAAGAATTAGGAAGCAAAGAATAAATGCCATCCAATGTTCTTGGCTTATATACTACTCAGAAATGAACAATAACCAGGGTAGATCTAATCACACAACTATATCCTGCCCATTGAAACTAGAAGATTGTTCCACTTAAAGTGGCTGACACTCATTGTGGTTGGGATTATAGTTGCTTCCTAACAGCTATTGTCTCTTTTATATCCTTCATAACATAACTCCATTCAGTAGAGTACATAGCTAGTGCTACCTAGCTAAAAGACTACATTTCCTAGCCAGCCTTGTAGCTTTGTGTGACTATGTGAGTAAATTTCAGCCACTATAAGTAAGTTGAAATGGAATGAAGACCTAATTATCTCCATGAAAAAAGAATCACCACCTTTGTCTCTCATCCTCTATCCGGATGCCTGGAAAGTAAATGTAATGGCTGCAACTCCAGCAGCCATCTAGGAGTGTAACTTCAAGGATTATACCCTAGGGATATAAGAGTAGAGAACTAGAAAGAGATTGAGACTTTGGTGACTTTGTAGAGCTAATATACCAGCTTTTCATTACTTAACTAAAAGCTTCTTTTAAAAAGAGGGAAAAAATACATTTTTTTAAACTATTGCATTCTGCTAGATGCAGCTGAACCTAGATTAAAACGTCCATGACAAAAGAAAAGTTTGCATGTCCTACATGATCCAAAGTATCTATTTCAATAGTAATGTGTTTAAAACAATTTATGAGTGATCAAGTATCTTAAGCTATGTATTCATACTCTCTACTTCCTTTAAAATGATCTGATCCAAGTAATACTGAGCAATAAGCATTTGTTTCTTCAAATTTGTATTTTCACGATGAGATAAATGGCAGATATAGCATAATAAAATACAAGAGACCATGATATAAAAAGGACTGTGAGCCCCTCATCTCTTAGTAATCAGAAGCTGGGTTGGGTCCAGGATATCACTGTAGAGTTGCAACAAGAGGGTTGCAAATTTATGGTCCATGAGCCAAACTTGGCACTCAAATATTGCATTTGGCTTATGCAATGCTTTCTGAAAACGTTAATTTTGAATGCCTTGAAGTGGACATGCATCTTCAGTTCTCCACAGGCCCATCATTCCCTATTGATGTACACTCATTTACTTCACTTATTTATGCTACCTGCCTGGCCTCTGAAAATAAAATGGTACATTTCTGCACCTTCCCTTCTCTCTGTTACTTCTCTGTTGTTGAAATCAGTGATTCATACCCCTTGATTCATACCCCTTCATACCAAAGATGATTTTCTAAGATTAAGTCTGTCCATTTCTAATAGCAAGAGTGCATATAACTCACTAGGTGTTAGAACTTTGTTTAGGAATGTAAAAATTACTACAAATGCACTAGTATTTTCTTCTACAAAAAACAAATGGGAAGTCTTTTAAAGCACCCCACCACCACATCACAAACACACATACCCAAAAACTCATGAAAAGCTGATTTTGCCATCTTAACTCTGATTCTGGTTACTTAACAGTTTCAACTAAAGTTAGCCCAACTTCCTTTCAGTTTTTAGGAATTTATTTTATTTTATTTTTTCAGTTCTTAGGAATTTAAAAAACCAATTCAGTTCTTAGAATTTACTAACAAGTAGCAATGTTTGGGCCTAAAAGGCCTAAAACTTGATTTACTTACTTTTATCTCATCATTCATAAGTATTTCTATCAAGCAGGCACTATGCTTATGTTTACATTTCTGGTAAATAACCACAGTCAAATAGATGAAAAATATGAAAGTTTGTAAATATCCACTTACATGTGATAACACGTCTCTCCATTTCAAAGGGGACATATTTGTACGCAAAGTCAATACCACATTATATGACTTAGTTATAACTAAAATTTGACATACTTGTTTTGCATGTGTACCTTAGATATTTCTTTAGTTTCAAGCATTTACCTGAACTTACTCTTCCCCAAACTTAAAATCATGTGGAGTTTCAAAATTCTGACTTGTTTATTAAGCTTGTGTCAAGCCTGAACAGGGGATATAAAGTATTGCCAAGTATCCATTCAATATAACTGAAACCAAAATAAGTTACGAAACTCTGAGTATACTGGATTCCTGAATTCTTTTCTAGATTACCTTTAATTAGGGCCATACTACTTTCTTTTGCTATTGAATTTTTATCACATATACTCTCCTAGGTCAAGTAATAAAACAGAGGAAATTATTTTTTGCAATGTGAATGCAAGGAATTATACTTTTTTCTGTAAAATCTGATATTTGGGATTCCAGTTGCTGTGCTGTTTGGTTATATTGGGGGAAGAGAGGTTGGTATGGAGATGGGGACAGTTTTGCACCTAATAACAAATTTCTAACTTTTATGTAAATTAATACTAAGAAAAATTAAGCTCTCCTTATTTTTCAGAAACACCTACAGAGTAATTACAACTATTTGGGTAAGTCTGTTAACATATAGCCTATTCCATATACCTTATGAAACACTCCTTTTGTTTATTCACATGTTCAATTATTTCCACACTTTATAAAAGTAAGTTATCTATTTTAAAATATACTAACAAGGAACGTTGTGTTAATTAGGTTTTAAATTAAAGTTGTTGATTGTTTTGGTGGGTGAGTGGAGTGAACTGTCCCTTTTATAATTAGATTTGCTATTTCTATTGTAATTTTTCTGTGTTTTCTCTCTCCCCTTTCCTGACTTCTACTTCCCAATTATTTTCCCCACCCTTCCAAACAACGGATGTTGTTCACACCATTACAAAAAAACTCAAGAGTTTTACCTTTTGTCAATTGCCTTGTTTTTGAAAACATAAAAAGTAACATAAAAAGTTCCAAGATTTTAGAAAGTGCCCCCTCTATGGGACTCTGGACAGATTGTTGGGTATTCATCTCACATTTTTATTTTCACTCTGAAAATTATTCTTAGAACCTGTGGCCTCTAGATTAATTTTATGATCATCTTCAGAGCAAAAAGACTCAGTAGTAGGTATTAAAAAATATATACATACATATATGCATATGTCTGCATATTTACATATACACAAAAGTATATATGAAAGACAATAACAGAAAAGTTTAAATGTGCTAAGTTTTAAAAACTTGAGTTTGATGTTAAATAGTTATGAAAATCTATAATGGCCTATTATGAAAAAGAACATGTCTGGAGAATAAGGATTTAATAATCAGTGGAACCAAATTAAGTATTTTCTTATATTCTATAGGAGCCAGGTATTTTTGCTTAACTATACCATACAACCCAACCTCACATGAGCAAATTGCATAGGAAAAAAAAAAAAGTTGGTAACCAGGCAAGGTTCATCTTAAAATAGGAAAAAAAAAAAAAAAGGAAAAGAAACTTGCGTCTAAAGGATAATGCCCATGCAAATGCTCCATGATAAATACATTCTATATATAAGGCATGCTGATTTGCTGCCTTCCGCCATCCAGCAGGGAACCACCACTGTCCTGATAATCAAGTCAGTAGGGTGGGAAAATACCACTGTTTAAGAAATCTGGCTTCTATCAGCCTCTGTCACGGAGAAGTAAAGGAGACTGGCTCTCAGTAAGCAAAAGTGGTTTTAACATCACAAATGAAAATGGGAAAGAAGTAAAAGTCTGTAAAGAGAGAAGAACAAGGAGCCAAAGACAAAGAAAAATCAGTTATCAGAGTGGCTGCAGAGGTTTTTCTAAACAAAGAATTGTATGAAGCAGCTGAAGTTCAGTACAAAAAAGACTCCACCCTACCCAGCTTCTGCTGCGACTTTTCCTCGCTCTGAAAACTCCAGCCCACAGAACAGAACTCCTCTGACTTAAAGTGCCTTTAGTGCTCCGTTTTAAGCACTCTTCTTTTAAACGTCCCACTCTCCACATTCAGGCAAAAGGACTTATCCTAGACTCTCCCAGAAATATTCAGTAGTATACTCTGCCCCATGGCCGATGTAGAAGCTCCAGATTTACAAACAGCCTGACTGTCTTCAGATCCATTTCCCAGGTGCAAATCTGTCAGCCCCCTTCTCAGCTTCAAACCAGAGCTTCCTCTTCATGCTCTTCCTTCCCGAGGCTTAACATTCCACCTATTTCCCAAACCGTGCAAGAAACACCACAAGCAAAGCAAACGGCAAACTCACCATCCTCGCCTTCTTCCTGGGCTTTTATTGAGACAAACTGCCCTAATAAAACAGTCAGAATGAGGAGAGGTCTTGCTTCCACCCAGTTTGCCATCATGTCTAAATATTAGACATGTGGGTCCTCCTGGGAGTGAAAAGTAGATTCTAAGGTTATTGTAGCACCATGAAGTCAGCTGCAGGCTCTTTCAGCACCAGCCCCGGGGCAGCCTTTGCAAACCCCCTTTTTCAGCACCAGCTCCAGCACAGTCTGAGAAAACTTTTTTCAAGCGATGCAGCTTTAAATAGGAAGAATGCTGCCTCCACTTCTTTTCCTGCCCCTTTTCAGCTTGTTCAGGCTCATAACCATCCAGTGTCTGCCAAGCAACGGTCTGATTGATGGTAAACAACCAAATCAGAACACGCGCCTCCTCTGTGCCTTGAACTGTCCCTTCTTCATTTATGTTTTAAACATAAATGGGGGCTTAATCACAGAAACAAACGTTTATTTCTCTTTCTTTTTTTTCTTTTCTTCTTCTTCTTTTTTTTTTTTAAGACAGACTGTTAGAAGAAAATAGTCCTATTCTCCCCTCCCTAATCCTTCCCCCAGACACACCCCTTCACTTTTTCCCTATAAGCTGAAAAAGACATTAGGGAGGAAATACAGCCTTTTAGCCTAGTTTTTGGAGTCTAGATAATCCAGGACTCTCGTCCACCTTAAACTTGCAAAGGATCAAATTTTAACCCTTTCTTTTTACTGAAGAGGAAGTATTCTTGTCTCCCTGCCAGATTCTGTTTCTTTGCCCAGATTTTGTAAGGGGACCATTAAAACTGTGTCCAATTCAAGTCCAGGTGAAGAGACTGTTTCAGACAAATTTGTGATGCGTCATACTTTAAGATTATCTCCAGATTTCTCCACATCTCTTGTTTAGGGGAACACATCTGCAGGTCCCTCCTGTCCCAGAAAGTTTTATTCTGTTGAAAACTAGTTTACTATGTTCCCGTAAAGGGATGGGAAGTATACCGCATTTGGACGCAGAAAGTCTCGCTTCAAACAACAACTCTGCCACTTACCAATTTCATAAACACAAACTCCTTTATCTCTGCGCACTCCTATTTTCTCATTTGAGAAAAGGGCTTTGCCCTAACCAGTGTACAGGGTTTAGTGACACTAAAATGAGTAATGTATTATTAACTAAGTTCCAAATTACGAAGAGCTACATAAGAGTAGATGGTGGTGTTATTATTCCTACACCAGTTTTTCAGGGACTGTGGCAGTTCCAGTGACACATGCTATTTAACAGCAATATTCATAAATATTGGGGCCACTTCTCATGCTTGCCAAGATCTTAATGACCTCAGAATGTTCTACATAATCTAATACATTTGCTACCTTGACTCCACCTAGAATGGCTATGCTATATAATACAGGTGAGTCAACGGTCTATAGTAACTCAGCAGTGATCAGGCACCTTGCACTGTGCTAAGCAGTGGGAGACAATGACCCAAAAGAAGTGAAAGCCATGCCCGTTGCCTTTAAGGAACACATGTAGATGCTAAAAATGCTAAAAAAAAAAATAAATTTACATGAAACAAAGAAATATAAGCTGAAGCATATAAATATGTGTGGGTGCATTAACCCCAGGAGGAATTCCGAGAAAGGAGAGATTATAGGGCACGATTAGGTAAGTAATGCCCTGTCACTTTTTGTAGAAGAAACCCAAGAACCTCTGATTTTTAGCTTGGAGCTAGAATCTCTGGAGAAATATTCCAGAGGGGGTCAACTTTACAAGCAGCTCTAACGCTGCACTTCTCAGTTTAATTTTTCATTTTTATAAGAAAGATTAAAAACACAATTCAACCTCTCACGGTTCCCTCCAGTTTCAGCCTCTTCTTCCTATCAAACCAAAAGCATATGGTGTGACAGGGACATAGTAAATATTTTCAGGACAGCTGTGATAAATTAGCTCGTCTTTGTGAGCTGTGTGACTTGGGCTTTTCCTCTGTGATCGGCTTCAGGATCCTACATTACAACTTGGAAAAAGAGTAAAACGTACACAGGTGTTGACCAGGTGTGTTGGTTGCATTCAGTATAGAGGACTCAACCATTTCTTAGTCCTTGAAGAACTGATTCTAGGCCTCGGTGCTTAAGTGGGGAGCTCAGAAATCCATCACAATTTCAAGGAAGCCCCTCCCAAGTGTACATATTATAATAATACATGCCTCCTGGGTAAGTTTGTACCAAATCGACTTTCACAGCAACCTTGAAAGTTATTTATTATTTTTCTTAAATCATATATAAGGATTTATGGTTCAAAGAAGTTTACCTGCTCAAGTTTGCTCAGCTACTAAGTGGTAGACTTAGGGTTCTATTTCAGAAATATCTGACTCCAAAGTGAGTATTCTCACTTCTTCCTAGCTCTTAGATCAGTCTGACACCAATATTTCCAGTTTCCAAAGAAAAGATGTCTCAGCACCTTCAGGGTCGGTCCTTCCCTCTGTACTCTTTATCCTATCCCTTCACGTCTCCTTCAGGACATTATTCTGTGTCCTTCTCTCTATTCTCACAAAAAGAAACAAAAACCCCCCAAAGATTTCCCCTAACTACTCATCTTCTATAGTCTCCTTTTTTCCTTCTACTTCCTCACCACCCAGTTATACTTTACCATCCTCATTAGAATATCATCACCAGCACTGCAAGACACATCAATATCTCTTTGTTGATAAACCCAAGACCTTTTGTCTTTTCTCCCTGTAGTATTTGGTACTCTGACTACTCCCTTCTTCTGAAACTCACCTTCCTCCCAAGACTCCCTGGTCCCACATACTTCTCTTATATGCCCTGCTTTTTTGGTCAAACTTCCTTTTCTAATTCCTTTCAGAGAGTTATTGTGCTTTCCAGCATTGTCCTATCAGCATTTTACCCTCCTTGCCCATTCTCTTGGGCTATTTTAACTATTAGATCCCTGGACTTTATTTCCATTTACATGCTAATGATTTCCAGTCAAGACTTTCCTCTTCAGTTGTAGATCTGCAGACTTGTATTTCTAAGTGTCTGCATTGAACACCTTTCTCTGCACAAGTCCATGAAACTCAGAGGCCAAAATGAAACCATTATCTCTCATTGTTCTTTATACCCATTAACATTGTCACCATTATTCTAGTCCCAAAGATCAGGAACATAGAAAGACACCCTTTCTTTTCCCTCAACCTACATCCAACTGATGGCCAAGTCTTGTTGATTTTGTTATGCATTTCTTCACTCGTTTATTTCTCCTTTCTTAAAAAACTAAATTAACTCCCAAGTACTTACAAAATAAAGTTATATGATATTTTAAAAGAAGAAGAAGGGGAAGAGGAGATGGGGGAGGGGAGGGGAGAGGGGAAGAGGAAAATGCCTATTTCTTGGTTTCCATTTCTTTCTGCTTTCCTCTTTTGGCTTCAGCCATTGGAAACACAGATTTTTCCCAGGCATATAAGCAGTTTCACACCTCGGAATTTTGCTCAGGCTCTGACCTTTGCCTGAAACAACAATTTCCCTGGTATAATTCAGTCCCTTATTCAACAAGATTTGTTGAATGCCTATTATTTGCCAGGTTCTACTCAAGGATCTAAGGATATATCTGTGAACAACACAAACGAGGTCCCTGATGCTGTGGAGCTTACAACCTTGAGTGGAAAAACAGCAATAAATAAGTGAGCAAATATACAAACAGGTAATTTCAGACAATGATATGCTATGAAGGAAATAAATAGTGTGTTGTTTTAGAGTTGTTCAGAAGTTGGTGGTAGGAAGAATGCTGCAGACTAGGGCCATCAGGGCAGACCCACTGAAAGAGGTAACAGTGAATCTGAGACCTAAAATTTGAAAAAGTATCTATCCCCAGAGAACTGGGAGAAAATGGCATTCCAAGCAGGAACAGCAAGTGTAAGTGGCCTGAAATGATATATTACCTTTCTATGGCTGCCATAAAAATCCTCACAAACTTAGTCATTTAAAATAGTATAATGTAATACCTTACAGTTCTGTGAGTCACAAGTCTGTGTCTCACTGGGCTAAAATCAAGGTGTCAGCAGGCCTGCATTCCTTTATGGGTCTAGGGGAGAATCTATTTCTTTGCCTTTTTAAACTTCTAGGGGTCACTCACATTCTCACAGCCTCTTTCTCCATTTCAAAGCCAGCAACCCAGTATCACACTGACACTTTTTTTGTGGCCACATCTCTTTCTCTGACCACAGGCAAGAAAGGTTCTCTGCGTTTAAGGACACAGTGTGACTGTACTGGTCCCACCTGTCTAATCCAGGATAATTTCTCCCATCTCAAGATCTTTAATCACATCTGCAAAATCCCTTTTGACATGAAAAGTACACAGTTTCCGAAGATTAAAACATGGACATCTTTGAAAGGCCATTATTCCCCTTTCCATATATGGGAATAAGCTCTGAATGGGCAAGAATAGAAAGAAAAGCCCTTTCTGGCTAGGGTCTGTTAGTAAAGTGTTACAGGTCACAGAGAGGACTTTAGATTTTTTTTTTCTAAACGCAATGAGAATCTAAGAAAGATCCCCACTGGAATAATGTACTCTAATGTGCTGATTTTTAAAAAATCTGAATGGCTTATAAGAAATGTATTCTACCAAGGCAAGAATGGAAGTGAGGACACAAGTTAGGAAGCACTTTTACTCCAAATGAGACATGATGGTGGTTTGGACTGGGGAAGTGCAGTGAAAACAGAAAGAAGCAGAGGGATTCCAGATGTATTCTGGAAATACAGTCAATGAGAAGTTCGATAAAGGGAAAAATTGAGGAGGACATCTCTGCCAACTAAGAGGATGATAGAGCCAGCGAAGCTTAAGTTTTACCAGCCCACCTTCCTCACAGGCAAACCAGCCTGTTCCTTCATAGAACCGAGGGACATGTTCTGTGCAGACCTCGCTAACGTCTCATGATATTTACATGTCTGTTTCTCCTATCAGACTGGAAGCTCCCTATGACTACAAACATTGTTTGGTTATTTATATTTGCCCAAGAGTTATTTGTTGAACACATGTCATTTGGTAAAGAATCAGTGGAACTTGATGACTGAAAGGCCATGACAGACATGGCAGTGAGCATAAATAAGAATGATTCTAAGATGCCAACCCAGAGGACTAGGAAAATGATGATCCTGGTGAAAGAACTATCTCGGCTAGGAAGAGAAACTGGTAATAGAGTTGAAGAAGAGCACATAACAGATTAGGCTCATCTCTGCACATGTATGCTATGAAATAGCATAACCATAATTTCTGAACAGAAAAAGCCTGCGTATTATGAATATACTCTCTTTCTGGCAGAAAGCCACTGTGAAAATAATAACCATAAGAATAGTAATAATGGGTAAAATATATTAAGTACTTACCATGTGTCAAATGCTATGTAAGCATTGTCCATGTATTAATTACTATAATCCTTAAATCAATGCTATGGGATAAGTGCTATTATTTTCCCTGTTTTACAGATGAAGAA